GAAGGACAAGTTTGAGGAGACCCAGATGCCCAAATCCTTTTTGGTATCTATCCTCATGATGTTTTCTGGTCCCTTTTCACCATGCATAACAAAGGCATTCGCTGAATCTCCTCCAAACTACATATGGACGCACTTTTCATCATTCAGAGGAAGGTGCCAGTCCAACGACCACTTCTTGGCATCGTCTACATCCATTTCGAGGGTCTACATCGATTTGCATCTGCCTGAATTACACCACCATACTTTGGTAGCAAACCACGTAGACGGAAGGAAGTGGAATAAATAACATTCAAACTCCCATAATCACAAACAGACACAGCCATGGGTCCAAACGGGCGCAGCGCATCTCAGATACCCTGCAGATCACGTACGGGATAGTCCAAGCGTCGCAGTTTATCGCGCAGGACCCGCAAATCATCACCGATCAAGTCTATTACATAGTTTTTCCGGACATAGTCTCGAATTTCAATGGATGACTCAAATCATCGCAACAAACCAGACACATGCTTCTGCTGGGCATTCAAGTGTCGGTTCGCAGTATACACTTGCCAACCAGACGCACGCAGGTCACGCGAGTGTTGCATATTGAAACTAATTATTACAAGGCGACCGTCATGTTGAACGACACGCATGAACGATCGACAGTCGAAATCACCGTACCCAAATATTAGTTATCTGCATGATTATGCAGGATACCGACGGCCCTTTTGATTAGCATTCCAGTGAGAACGTGCATGTACACATTTGTACACCATGAACGCATAACCGAAGGATGGTGGAAGCACTTTCACCGACATTCTGTTCATACTTGGCCGCCGATAAACTGTGTCGGCTGGCATAACACGTGCCCGTTCTCCGTTGGAATTCTCGCAGCCTGGACTCGAATTCCGCAAAGGAACGCACTCACAGCCGGGGAAGTACTCCATCATCTGTCTAGCTACGTCGTGTTCGCCCAAGGATGCATCCTGTGAGCCTGCAAGACATTGTGCCACATTAAACCATCTTACTTGACGACAATCCAGTTGATGAGGTACTCAACCCAGGTATAATTGGCCCTACCGTCGTTGATTACTCAGCCCAGGTATAATTGGCCCTACCGTCGTTGAAACCGTGCTGGTGGCGTTCTGCATGTCGTGGGCATCCGGACCGCAAGCGGGGCAAGCGAGGAATGACCATTTGTAGCTCGGTACCAGTTTGTATACCACCCTGACATTGGGCCCCTATGGCCTTGATACACCAGCTGCCCGATCCAGACCGCAGGTCGCCGACTCTGGGTTTTTTGTGCTAGGCTGATGGCCATCACCACCAGTTTAGCTGCCTGACCAAACACCTTCTGACCAATCAGCTGCACGCATCGCTTGTTGGCCGCTGCGGTCCCCAGCTGCGAGTGGTAGGGGCTTTACGCGTGGGTCTTCGCTTGGAAGCTCGCTTCTGTTGAGCACTATCAGCCTTGAATGAAAACCTCACGCTGTAGGTACCACAAGCCGCTGAATCACGATTATCAGACGCCTGAGGAGTGATTCGTGAGGTTTCAGGGTTCGTTTATTTTTAGATTGGTAAGAGATCTTGCTCTCGACATAGGTCATCTGAGCATCTGGGCCCAGAACAACTGGTCTTTGATTCCATAAAACCACTGCCTGTCACTCCACCATTTGGAGTTCTCAGGACCTGCACACTGATAAAATGTCTTCCATCAGACTGTACCTTCTGGGTCCCTACCTAAAGCTTCCACCTTGAATTGGTAGTCGAGCTTGAGTGCTGCAATGATCCCACTTGCTACACTGTCTGAAACATCGCTCCATAAAGTGAAGACATGGCAGGAAGGCCAAGGGAGAGTAATCAGATGGGGAACAGCGAGACCTCGCACCATGAGTAGTGCTACGAGGCGGTCTGTCCTCTGCGGTAGAAGTGTGAAGGCAGTAAAGTGTTTCTCTCAGGTGACCAGCATGTCCATATTTAGGGCAGAGGCGATACTGCCTTACCGCGAGGAAGGTTGGGTTAGAAAATGTCGGTCCTAAAACTGTACACTCCGATCGCCCAACGGTTGACCGTGACCGTCGGTGCATTATTCAATACGATCGAAATACTTTTAAAACCAAAGAGTCCGGTGGTGTTCAAACGGCACCTGTTGCACCCAGCCGCATTAAGAGCGAGACACTGATGCTATGCCTGGGCTATGCCAAGCCTCTGCAGCCGAACAGGTCAGGCTATTGAGTCATCGGCTCCGGGCAGGGTCCCCAAAGAAAACCCTAACCCCCTACTGCCTTGTGGGTCAGACTTTTGAGTCAAGGTTCAAGTTGGGGCACCTCAACCAAACCCTCTCGGTCTGGGTGACCGGGAAGTATCTTCCGCCAAAATTCTGTATCCACCGACGTCCCTCCCGAACTTCTCACCACACAAGCGTGCGTTCCTGGGTCATTTGGCTGTCAGTTATCTGACCGATTGGCCTTGTGTAACCCACTACCTACTAACAATAGACAAAATAACATATTGGTGGATCTGCGGGATCCCTTCTACGTAGGAGCTTTTAACGTCCGTACTTAATGTCAAATTGGCAAACAGGCAATGCTCACTGAAACCGTATAGTCCCTGAAAGTTGAAGTATGCCGTGTCTCCGAAGCACAAGAAGACCCAAATGTGGTTATGTACCTCAGAACTCCAAGGATGAACTCAACTGCTTCACATTTCTCCCTCCGTGTGTCCAGTGATCAAAAAGCGACCACTCGTGTAATATGTGGCATGAGAGTTGCACTCACCCCCAGAGCTGAACGCGCTCGGTTAGATTGAATCCCAGTGATCAGTTGTCGTTGCGCTGTCTGGTCATCAAGCCCAGCGTCTCAACATGAAAGCATTGCTTGTTTGGAGTGTCGGGTTATGCCTTAACGGACTGCCGTTCTGACGCTCAGGAACATGCTTTCTATCGAGAGTTATCCGGGATCATTTGTTAAGCAAGAAGCACTGACATTGTGATACTTGCGGACAATATCAATGCACAAGTCCGTCGTCTGAGCTCCTTGGAATCACATTTGGGCGGTTGATTCGGAGTCGTTGCTCGTCGCACAGACTACAGAGAGCCACTCTTCCAGTTGTGTGCTGTTCGTGAGCTGTTTCTAGCCAGTGCAAACTATCAGCATGAGCGTTCAGATCGCGTAACCTGGTGGCTGCCAACTGCAAGTCAACCGTGGACCCAGTGGTCATCAGCCACCAGTGAAGAGCCACAATTCAAGACTGCCTTTCCTCCTGGGGCATACAACTTGATTCCGATCACGCCTAACGGTTCGTGTACCCTCGGGCCCTCGCAAGTCACCATCCTCAACAGTACGACATCACTGTTCAACACCAATGCTCCGCTGCCGTAATCCTGGTTGAATGTGGGCTGGGATACTGTCAGGGCGCCCACACATCTAGACCGGAGGACGATTAGGGTTATCAACCAAATCCTTTGGATCAAAAGCCTAAGCGCAAGTTAGGGGTGTCTGGCGAGAAACGCAAATGCATTACCGTTTCTACGGAACAAGTCGCCACATGTTCCAACTCCCATCCTGGAGGACCAGGAGACTGTGTTCTTCAGACCTCTAACCACTGAACAACCTGGTATAACAGACTGTATGAGTGTCCCAGATACACTCTCCCACTGGCTCGATGGGTCGCTGAGTTACGCAAACTGTCACACCACGGTAAGGCCCAGTCTCTGCGCAACAGTCTCAAGTCAACAAGAAGAATGCCAGTCCACCATCTTCGAAGAACTAACATAGCTCAACAGTATCGATCTGAGCTAGCCCAACAACTCTCCACAGTAAACCAATACTGTACTGGTGGTGAGTTCATGTATGAAGCGTGGGAAAATGTGAAAGGAGCTATGCTAGCGGTGTTCAGTGCTATCTGTTCGACTTCGCCAATTCGACCACAAGAACACTGGATATTTTCGAGATCGCCAGTCATGATTAATGCCAGGAGATCCATATCAGAAGGCAACGAGTGTGAGGGCGCATGCAAATCTCTTAAATGCCAAACATTGAAGAGCCTAACGAAAGACCGAGAGGTCTGGCGGATATCGAAAGCTCGGGAGATGGAGAAGGCTTTTGTTACGGGAAACAGCCGTGCCCTATATCAACCGATACGATCGACTGGCCCTAGAAGAGCAGCAGTCAATAAAAGGAAAACTGAAAAAGCAGTTCATTAAATTACTCGCAAAAACTTCGACTGGAAAGATGGACCAAGCACTTCGAAGAACAGTTTAGCTGGTCTTATGGAACACAACCTCCGGACATATTACTTACCGGTGAATGGACTGTAAACCCTACTCGCTCGTCGGAAGAAATAGTATAAAATATCCTTATTGAAAGGTGAGAAGGCACCAGGACTGGACGGTCTGTATCCAGCCGTGTTCAAAGAAGACGGGAATCCCTGTTAAACCATCTAACAAAGCTCATTGGTGCGATATGGAAGGAAGATAAAGTGCCTACAGAGTGGTACATGTCGACAATTATTCCTATCTTCATAAAGGGTACGCGGACGCTGTGTGAAAACCACCGTGGCATCGAAAATCCTCTCAGGTCTTATCTTTCGAAGGTTGACAACACGAGGTGAGATGGACCCTTGAAAACCAAGCTGGGTTCCGTCCTGCAAGAACATGCATCGATCACATTTTCATTCTGCAACACATTCCGGAACAGTGACACTGGTTCCAGCAATGGTTGTGTCCCTGGACCTACGATTGTTAGACCATGCACTGAGCATGCCGAACCATCGTTTGTCTTAGAGATCTGTTTTCTGAGCCCAATTCAATTGAGAGTGGCGCCGGCGAAGAGTTGGTCAACGTTTGATCCGGTCGAGCGAAATGAAATCGATTAACAGCGGTTGGTGTTGTCGGTGTGACACGCCTTCCGTGATCGGGTCTGCGTGAACATCACTGTACATGGTTGGATATAGTGGAATGGATGGCTGCTAAGTATTGTCAATGTTGTTGTCAGTTGCTACCCAAGCTGCCTAAGTCGTAAACTGGCACCAAATCCCTTCCCAATCCATTTTTATTATTTTCCTCACAAAGAGGCTTTCAAATAACTGGTAGTTGTACGACAGCGAAGCCTCGGAGCTGAACACTGATTTTATGCCGTCGATGACGGTGATGACCTGCTACCTGATCGATAGGTGTTTACTATGTTTCTGAATCCCGGATACAAGATACAAGTGCAGTAGTTGGGTCTGTGGCAGCCTCGTCTAGACGCTACCAACTGCGAATTTCAGGTGGTTCCTCAACTATCGAAGCTGGTTGCACTGGCGTTGGTGTAGTTCTCAGCTCGTAAGCGAAGATTTCTCTGTTTGGTTGATCACCTGTAAACACTCGGTTACGTGCCTTTCATCAGGATTCACTGGTTGCAATAATAGTCGCTTGTTATGGCCTCTGCTTAAGCATCAGGCAATTGTGTCTGATCCTACGAGAGACATATTATCGAGAAATAACGAACCTCTTGTCAATCATAGTTGTCATTGACGGCAATACACCAGTACTGCACACTGGTGCTCAACTGCCATACAACCATGGAGGCAATTGTGCTGATCCTACGAGAGACATATTATCGAGAAATAACGAACCTCTTGTCAATCATAGTTGTCATTGACGGCAATACACCAGTTATGCACACTGGTGCTCAACTGCCATACAACCATGGAGGTACGAAAGCCCTAGAAAGAAAGTGGAAATAAAAAGTTGGAATGCGTGCAAAGAAGTCCTGCGTTCTTAAGGAAAATGGGTGTAAACCGTCTGCTCTTTCAAATAACAGAATGAATGCATCTGAGAGTTATGTCGAGGGTGTCGTTAGCGGGCTTGAAACAGCGTCCTTTGCAAACTCCAGCATAAGTCCAGCGCATAACGACAGGCGAACCTTAACTAGATGCTCCGCTTAAGAAGTGATAGAACGCATTCAGTGGGGATCGGTTGCGTTCCGTTTTCTGCAGGATTTCCAGCTACTCTTACGGTTACCCTATGTACACGGTCCTTTAGCTTCAGCGAAATTTGATTATGACGCCGTTAATGGTGAACCTTGGTAAACGCTGCCCACGTCTTGCCCTAATCTGTTATAGCACATTGATGGATCATCCAGCTGCTAAAATATGTTAACTGATCAACAAACCAAACTCCTTCGTCCTGAAGTTTTTGGAGAGGCACAAGAAAATGAAGAATACTGCTGTAAAACATTGTACCTTGAACGCAAAAAAGCATCTATAGACGTGGTATCACCTCCGATAGCTTGTCTGTGGTACTTCCTGCGGACAGAAAGTCTTGAAACAACAAAATGACGCTTACATAATCCAAGTCCACTATTTTACCATTTGTTTGTTTGTTTACTTGTTGATTTGTTTTCCAAGTTCAGCACGCGATTCTTATGCCTAGATTCATGCCTTCTTGGGGTGTGCATACCACGATAACGTCGGTGACACAACTGAGCAAAAAAGAGAGGAAAATACCCTGACGAACTGAACGAGTTGCGAAGAAGCCTTTTGAAATACAGGGCAGCAAGAATGTTCACGAAACTCAAAGTCCCCACTCCTTGGCCGTGAATATTTAAAAGAGCTGGTCAATTCACAAAGTCCTGAGAGTAGCCCATGAAACCTTTACAGTGAGCACCTGCGGGAAATGCTGCTACGGCACATCTCAGCTTGTCACAATCCCCCGTCGTTTTTGTCTCTATGACACGTTTTTCGTAATTCATAGAGGTTCGGATTGTCTTTTGGTCTAGGAAAATGAAATAATACCGTACCACCGCGGACGTTGTTGCCGCTCAACACGTTATCATTGTATTTACTTCGAAGTCTGGGTTTCTCAGGCTCAGCATGACCTCACCAGAGTAGTTTTGATAGCTTTCTCTTGTTTTCTCCAGATTGGGCTCTAGCCACTGGTACATAATGGAGGATGAAGATGACTGGCGCCAGTGTGCCGAATGGCTCAATCGATGTCAGATTCTGCCAGATGACCATCCATCTCTCGGTCCTGAAGGTAACGCCATCCACCTTGTGCAAGCTCTGATGGATGGGGTGGCTTTATGTCGAGTGTTGGATATCTTGTCTCAACACCAACTCGATGTTCGTTCCATGAAGGACTTCAGTCCGACTCCACAAAACTCGCAATTTTTATGTTGCCAAAATATCAGGCTGTTTACACAGTTGTGCGAAAAGGAATTTAGCATTCCAAAACCTTACCTCGTCCAACCAAACGATATATATCAGGCGAAAAATTTTGGCAAGGCCATCGCGCTTCTCTCAAAATTGTCTTTGTCTGATAGAGCCAAGCTTTCGGGCGTCACGTAAGTTGCTGCACCCATAAAACTGACCCGTTATCTCAGTGGTTTCCCACCGGAAAACTCGGAGCTTCAAACAACACATGAGTATTACAACAACTTGGAGGAGTACGCAGCTACGCTGTATGTTTTGGTCTACAATCCATTTGATTTTGACCTCGATATTATAGCGATAAATTGACAGAATCAACTCGGAACAACTATGCTCAAATGGAGGAAGAAACAAAAGAGAAACTTTATGACACGATACAAGTGCAGTAGTTGGGTCTGTGGCAGCCTCGTCTAGACGCTACCAACTGCGAATTTCAGGTGGTTCCTCAACTATCGAAGCTGGTTGCACTGGCGTTGGTGTAGTTCTCAGCTCGTAAGCGAAGATTTCTCTGTTTGGTTGATCACCTGTAAACACTCGGTTATGTGCCTTTCATCAGGATTCACTGGTTGCTATAATAGTCGCTTGTTATGGCCTCTGCTTAAGCACCAGAAAACTGTGTCTGATCCTACGAGAGACATATTATCGAGAAATAACGAACCTCTTGTCAATCATAGTTGTCATTGACGGCAATACACCAGTACTGCACACTGGTGCTCAACTGCCATACAACCATGGAGGTACGAAAGCCCTAGAAAGAAAGTGGAAATAAAAAGTTGGAATGCGTGCAAAGAAGTCCTGCGTTCTTAAGGAAAATGGGTGTAAACCGTCTGTTCTTTCAAATAACAGAATGAATACATCTGAGAGTTATGTCGAGGGTGTCGTTAGCGGGCTTGAAACAGCGTCCTTTGCAAACTCCAGCATAAGTCCAGCGCATAACGACAGGCGAACCTTAACTAGATGCTCCGCTTAAGAAGTGATAGAACGCATTCAGTGGGGATCGGTTGCGTTCCGTTTTCTGCAGGATTTCCAGCTACTCTTACGGTTACCCTATGTACACGGTCCTTTAGCTTCAGCGAAATTTGATTATGACGCCGTTAATGGTGAACCTTGGTAAACGCTGCCCACGTCTTGCCCTAATCTGTTATAGCACATTGATGGATCATCCAGCTGCTAAAATATGTTAACTGATCAACAAACCAAACTCCTTCGTCCTGAAGTTTTTGGAGAGGCACAAGAAAATGAAGAATACTGCTGTAAAACATTGTACCTTGAACGCAAAAAAGCATCTATAGACGTGGTATCACCTCCGATAGCTTGTCTGTGGTACTTCCTGCGGACAGAAAGTCTTCAAACAACAAAATGACGCTTACATAATCCAAGTCCACTATTTTACCATTTGTTTGTTTGTTTACTTGTTGATTTGTTTTCCAAGTTCAGCACGCGATTCTTATGCCTAGATTCATGCCTTCTTGGGGTGTGCATACCACGATAACGTCGGTGACACAACTGAGCAAAAAAGAGAGGAAAATACCCTGACGAACTGAACGAGTTGCGAAGAAGCCTTTTGAAATACAGGGCAGCAAGAATGTTCACGAAACTCAAAGTCCCCACTCCTTGGCCGTGAATATTTAAAAGAGCTGGTCAATTCACAAAGTCCTGAGAGTAGCCCATGAAACCTTTACAGTGAGCACCTGCGGGAAATGCTGCTACGGCACATCTCAGCTTGTCACAATCCCCCGTCGTTTTTGTCTCTATGACACGTTTTTCGTAATTCATAGAGGTTCGGATTGTCTTTTGGTCTAGGAAAATGAAATAATACCGTACCACCGCGGACGTTGTTGCCGCTCAACACGTTATCATTGTATTTACTTCGAAGTCTGGGTTTCTCAGGCTCAGCATGACCTCACCAGAGTAGTTTTGATAGCTTTCTCTTGTTTTCTCCAGATTGGGCTCTAGCCACTGGTACATAATGGAGGATGAAGATGACTGGCGCCAGTGTGCCGAATGGCTCAATCGATGTCAGATTCTGCCAGATGACCATCCATCTCTCGGTCCTGAAGGTAACGCCATCCACCTTGTGCAAGCTCTGATGGATGGGGTGGCTTTATGTCGAGTGTTGGATATCTTGTCTCAACACCAACTCGATGTTCGTTCCATGAAGGACTTCAGTCCGACTCCACAAAACTCGCAATTTTTATGTTGCCAAAATATCAGGCTGTTTACACAGTTGTGCGAAAAGGAATTTAGCATTCCAAAACCTTACCTCGTCCAACCAAACGATATATATCAGGCGAAAAATTTTGGCAAGGCCATCGCGCTTCTCTCAAAATTGTCTTTGTCTGATAGAGCCAAGCTTTCGGGCGTCACGTAAGTTGCTGCACCCATAAAACTGACCCGTTATCTCAGTGGTTTCCCACCGGAAAACTCGGAGCTTCAAACAACACATGAGTATTACAACAACTTGGAGGAGTACGCAGCTACGCTGTATGTTTTGGTCTACAATCCATTTGATTTTGACCTCGATATTATAGCGATAAATTGACAGAATCAACTCGGAACAACTATGCTCAAATGGAGGAAGAAACAAAAGAGAAACTTTATGACACCGTTGTCCACCAGGGTTCCTCTGCTCAACATGTAATTTTCCTTTTGCCTGTCAACTACAGATTATCTTTCAGAGTATCAACAGTGAGTCACTAACAGCTCGTGGAAGTTGCATCCGAGAGATTGTTGATACAGAAAGGAACTATGTGGATTTGCTGCGCATGTTGCTCGAGGTAGGCTCCTTAATAATTCTACCAATTCATACAATTTTGCAGAAGTATAAGTCACCGCTTACCGGTGTGCTGTCTCCCGAAGAATTGGATGAAATCCTCAAGTACATCGATGTAAGTACTTTGAGCTTTTTGAACGTAGAAAATAGGAGGGGGTCGGTGGACTTCCTAATATGATATTGATTATAACGATATGCTTGGAGACGATATGCGGTTGCTTAGTCTCACGTGAAGGTACAGTGGCTGTAGTTTAGATTTTGTCGGGTATACCTGAATTTCTGATGGTTTCACTCGAAAGTGAGATGCTGTGGGAGGAGGAAAAGTTGATCCTAGTGGATTTGTAGAGGTTGCGCTGATGCTATAACTAGTAAGCTAACTGTTGGGTGAATGCAGTTCAGCTGAGCTAACAGGGTTGGAGACAATGTAGTTTTCAGTGGTCATCATTGTTACTGATGTATGATACAATCAGTGCCGCTCAAAATACTCAACGTATCACGACTGCAAGCATCCTACGTGGCACTTCTTTTCAACCCTAGCCCCGCGGAGATCGATTTAGTTTGATCGCATTGGCTGGCTAATCATGAGCTAGAAGAATAACCAGCGTGACGGGCCCGTGCAGTTAAAAACTACACGGCCACTAGACAGAAAGAAAGAGGGTACCGTACGGGTGTCATTATTCCGGCCGTCCAGTCCTGATATCGCTTACGGATGGATCGTTCTGGTTTTGCTAGCATACAGCTCATACGCATCATGCTGACAGGGAAACCTTGCAGTCAAAGTTTTCTACCTCAAGGTGACTGACTCTAGGAGTGACCGCCATTTTCTCGAAACGATTTCCCGTTATCAGTTCCCTGGCTACGTTATAAAAAACGTGGTGGGTGTTAACCTTATAACAGAATTTCACTTGTCCAACTGGAAAATTGAGGCGTTTTCGTATACTGGTAGATTATCAAAAAATGTGCTCACCCTTCAGAACACAGAACGAATAGGTCACTATGACACTCATTGTGCAGTCTTGTCACTGTAGCCTCCCGTCTGCGACAAAATTGTGTCGTACTGTACAACGGTGACTAGGAATGGCAAGCAGGTCATGGAGATGCAGAGGATAACAATCAGTTCTATTGAAGTTGGAACACGGTTTGATATTCAACCTGCTCGTTCCCTTTAGCGCAACCATTTCTGCGCTCTCTTAGGGTGTTATCTCTTTAACGTTTGGTCTTCACAATGCAGTTTATCGTTAAAGGTACGTTGCCTCGTACACTTTCCAACTGCTTGACCATCACCCGTTGTGCGACTCTCCTGTGGTTTTATGCTCTTAGAAGGATGGAAGAATTAATTGGTAGTATACAGAAGCCTAATACCCGTTCACTTCTAAAGCTGCAGGTTGGATGTCTGGAGCTCATGGGTCCGGAATAAACTGGTTTAATTTTTACTCGGTTTTACTTAACACAGTAATACAACGAAAAATATTGCGTTTGTTGTTGTCCAGATTCATCTTTTGTCTGGTTGCGGCTAAGAAATTCATCAGCTCACATTTTCGTTATTTTGAGTTGTCATATAATAGACTTAGTTTAACCGTGATAACTTATGCAGAACTCAGTACTCCATCGGCGAAAATCCCAAAGTCACGTCATTGTTCAGTTTGACTTTGTGCTTCACCCGGTCTATCACATTCGCCGGCATCTTATGGAGCTTCGTGCATTTTAGCTTGCTGAACTTTGTTGTGTGTATTACTTCGTTTTCCTTCGTGGAATCTCCTTAGTGTTTCGACTCGTTGGTCCGCGGTATGCTGAGATTCATCAGGCTTAGCTAAGTCTCCCTCTCTACTTCTCTCTCAAGAAATGGCGATTCGTACATTCTTTGAGCCCGTAGAGACATGGAGAATGGTAGTAATAAGGAGACAACGTCTTTTGTGACCCATTGTCTGTGTTATCAAGTCCCCATTCCATTCGCATTTCTTTTCCATGACAACAATGTAGGTTATGCTACTGATTCGCTTTGGTGCCTTTGGGAATGCAACCGTGCAGCTAGTTCCATGGATGAAAGCGAGATACTATCAGAACCTTATAGAAAACTAACCCAAAAAACCAGAGCCCCGATCGGAACGTAGACCGCCTGTACATTGCCGTCTACGTGATGACTCATTGTGACGACTCCCATCAAATACGACTGTGTGGCCCCGTGCGACATCTGTTCCAGTTCCTTCGTTTCTCGATAATACAGTCAACCCGCACACTGGATTTGACTTGGATTTTTGGAACTATAAAAGAGGGAGGACTGCATCACAACCTCACTGGGAGCCTGTCTTACTGTTGGCTAGGCTGAGTGGCTTAAAACGATGTACTTACATTTCAACGGTTTCGTTTCAGTTAAACAGCGGGCTAGACAACATTCTGTCAGTAGCCCGTGTTCTACACAGAATCCAGACGACGAGTACGGTTACTCAGGTCCTACTTAGGCAAAACAACTGTCCACTATTTCTTGGCAATGTTCCGAATGGGTTGACCCAATGTAGCCAGCTAATCTATGCTAAGCACAATTCAGTACCCACTCATGGGGTTAAATGGGTGGGTGTTCGTAAAGCAATACGATGTAAAGTAATGCAGTTTGGCGATTGGTAATCCACGTACTAGTCCTCTATTCATCCCCCACACGTTCATATAATTTTCTCGTGGTCTTTCTTGGACCGGCTGTATAAGTTACCTCAACGTCGCAAAGTAGAGTCCTTACCAGTGAAAAAATCATACTGAATTTCCGAAGTTTTGCCGTGCGGCGAATACAGTGCATACTCTAAGTTTGAACACCGACTCGAGTAAGATTTGGAAAAAATAATCCAGTCCGTTCGATTATGGCGTTTTCTGTTACGCAATGGCCTTGCTGCACGTGGAAACCGCTCGACAGAGCTTTTGGACGGATACAGGAGACAGCAAGGTGCTGTTCATCAGGAAAAATGCTCCCTCACTGATAAAATGGTTTTGACTTCAGATGGCTTTTTTAATATCCTTTCTGGGAAATTAAAAAAAATTCCCGTAAATCTTTGGTGTTACTGAATCGATGTGCGGTATGTAGACATGATCAACGTAGCAAGGCAATCACGTGACCCACTGAGAACCTGGATTCTGGATCGACTGAATGGACGCGCACAGACTATTGGACGTAAGGAGCGAGCGTGGTCTCTAAATCGGGACAGCGTATCGACCGTGACCACCCAACGGGTAGTTGTTTGAGTATGAGTACGTGTACGCACGCTCAACTGAGCACGCCGGTGGGGAAAATCGCAGCCTAGGTGTAGACAGCTAGGTCGGGTGAGCGGAATTGCTCAGACTTCCTACAGTAGATCGGTGATACCATAACTTGCGGATGATGCGCAAAAGACTGAACGGTGACGCTTGTCCACTGCTAGGTGGAAATAGTTGGCTGACGTTTCTTAGCTGTTCAAAGCCCTTTTGGTCACGCTCACCTGTCTTCTAAGCTTCATCATATGTGGATTTTCTCTCCCCCAATGTCTACAGGAGTTGCACAACATTCATCGTGAACTTTTTGGCAATCTCATGTTGGCTACTAACCAGAACATGCATGTCATCAGTTTAAGCGATGTATTTCTCCAAGTACGCGATCGTCTGCTAATCTATGGTGAGTACTGTGGACACGTGCAAAGAGCGCAGTCATTGGTGGTCGAACTGATGCGCAACGATGTGGAGAAGCGGACCAGAATTGAGGTAGGTTCGTCCCCATCAGTGAGCCTCTCATTCGTGCTTTTTAACGTGGATTTATAAGTCAGGTCACGATTGTTTTGTCAAGTTTAGACGTGTGAATTCTTTAATGGTTATTTTGGTTGGGTTTGTATTATGGGAACTATACTCGAGTCACCGCCACCCTTGGTTTTCCGGGCCTGCCGAACCGCTGTAATCCGGCTAGCGACCTTTCTAGCATAATTTCCAATCAAGGCATCCTTACGCTGTCAACTCACAAGAGACATTCATCCAGTCTTCTGCTTACCACGCACGAAAAGCATTGTCTGACGGGAATGACTACATCAGGCTCGTCTCGTCAGGTTTCTATTGTATTCTTCATTCTATCTAGATGGGGGAAGCAAACTTTTCCAGCTAGTGATTACGTGCCAGCCATTTTCAATGCCTGTCTGGTCAGTCGTGCTCGAGGTAGCCCAGTGGTCAGGTGCAAACTTACTGGCCACAAGGTTCGTATTTTGAACCCAACATCAGCATCTTGACTACACCTGTGTAGGCTTGGTCGTCCTGGAAGTATCTCAGTCCCCTTGCTTCCTTCGGATGTCATGCCAGTTATGCATCGAAAGGTTGCTACAGCTGAACGATTATTTACAGTGCATCTATATCATCGGTGGTCGCCTGCGGCTTACAGTGAAACAGTGACTAGTGACTGACCGTGTCATTTTTCCATCTTTACCCGAATGTACTTTTGCACAACACTATCTATCCATCAAGATGTTTATTCTCTAACGTTTTCCCATATAGATGTGTCAGATGAATTCGGAAAAGTTCAGCAAATTCCACTTGACAGAACTGCTCACCGTTCCGATACAACGTGTGCTAAAGTATCACTTACTATTGGAGGTTCGTTTGCTTCGATTTGCTCGTTTTACCTTTTCATTCACTTTTGTATAGGCTAGATTCATTTTGCTTGCTCATGCGTTTAGTGTTTGAGTGTACGTTCGGAGTACCGTTGACTCTTTTCCACTGATAGATAGATATCATGCGCTGCGTAATTCTCAGTACTAGTACTTCATTCTGTATATTTACTGCCTTGTTCGCTTGTGATTCATTCAGTGGAGCGTTTAACGTGTCGTCACACCGACTTCGAGACATTTCAGTAGTTAGGGCGCGAATTTAGTGGCCATAGAAGGTCCACGGTTCGACTGCTCCTGTCTAGACATGGGAAATCCAGCAATAAGTTGGCCCTCGTACTTCCTTCGGGCAGCGTGGCACCTATGCACCGAAAGGGTATTACATCTGAACGATTGCTTATTTTGCATTATCGTCACTCATCCTCCGCTTGAGCCTTCTTCGCTAGGTGATACCTCACTGCCCGTGTTCTTTGTAAGTCTGTCTTGGATATGTTTGTCTTGATTGTTGCTCCAGTCTCCATATATTTACCCTGGTGATATCTTCAAATGAAGATTGAGAGGAACACATTGTTCTCTGTGTGGTTTCGAGCCCTAAGAGCTCTCTTTGATATTTTGACCATGTTGCCGACAACCAACAAAGAAACCGGACCTTGTCACTGTGAACTGGTCTACTGAATTCCAGAACTCGCTGAGCCATGCTGGAAGGTACACCGCAAGGTCTCGTTCTAGGTCGGTCGACAGGAAGAGATCCAGTGACCATAGTTTTTTCGTACCCTAGCTGGCGCACCCATCCCATGATGGTTCATCGTCTGTACTTTACTATGCAGGGGCTAGAGGTGCACTCACAAACATAAGCCGAGTGATATTTTGTGGTCACACCTACTGCATCACACTCAAATTTGATGTTTTCTCATGAGTACGTCCATCCGATCTAGGTAGGAACCGCGGCGCCTGAGGTGAGGAATTTGGAGATGGTCTGCAGGTTCTGGAAAAACCGGACTTCACACTGCTCCAAGATCATTTATCATGCACAGCAGTACCTAAATTCAGGTTTTTGTTCCTTCTTCTAGACCAGTTTCCTCGCCGTCAACTCGGTCTGGATTTCGAGTAAACGAATACGAGCTTGATCCTGGAGTCAAACTGTACATTCCGAGGCTGCCAATGGTTTGCCTTAAACTGGCTGTGTTCTTTGGCTTAGGAATCAACACTCTCAAAACACACCTAAACTCTGAACCAGGTGTTTTTATATAGACACCAACTACTTTGGATGTGGCTTCAGGTTGTGATTTGCCTTCCGAGTTCAATTTCATCGTAAAAGCGCTTTTGGGTGATGACACGTTATCGTTTTCGTTTCGATTGGTCAGTCATCCCCATTAAATCACCGCCTCAAATGAGGGAACTGCTTGTTATGTGTCCAGTCGTTTTCTGACCATGTATCACAAGGATAGTGGGTCAGTTTAAGCGGCAAGGAAGCGATCGTCCTGATGTCCATTACCTTGACATGATGCTATTGCTCGCTTTTCCAAGAGTCTTTGGGCTATGTGCAAAAGTGTAAGTTGATTATCAAACGCCGGAACAGATCAACAGCCACCTGATCAACGACCAGATTTCCACTCCTTCTTTCCGCTTGAACCGAAGAATTCTCCGTGGGAGTATTTCAAAACGCCGGACAGATCAACAGCCACCTGATCAACGACCAGATTTCCACTCCTTCTTTCCGCTTGAACCGAAGAATTCTCCGTGGGAGTATTTCAATTGTGTCCTCGTTTACTTAGTCGCTAAGTCGCTGTTCGTGATAATTACGCTACACACGAGGTGAAACTCGTTGCAGCTCTATGTCTCTGAATGTGACGGCGTCACAACTCAAAAGTATGTAGAGCTCATTTCACTTAAGCCTAATTGGGTGCACTAAAACTTGCTTCTCACTAAGTCTCATCTCGGGATGCATTCTCAACCTTTGTTTAGTTTCTTTTCTGGGTTTTGAGAAGCGAGCAGACGGACACTTAAGCCCTTTTCTATTGCTAACGTACTTAGGTTATGCCTAGGGTCGATGACCAGGAATCTTATGGTCCGTTTTCCATCCTTGTTACTTGATGCACAACATTTTAGCGTTCAGACACCTGCCAAAGACGCAGGCCAGTCTCTGGAGTTTCTGTCGAATGGCTGTTTGATCTCATTTTTGGCTTAAAGGTTGCAACGATTAATCCTGGGTTTTTGGAGTTTCTGGGCCCACCAAAATCTCTAGCTAATGTTTTTTTATTTTTCTGGAATACAGCAACTACGGAAACTAACTCCAGCTGACCATCCCGAACGAGCTGGTTTGTTACAGGCACACGAGGCAATGAAAGAACTGGCCCAATCCATTAATGAGGTCAAACGCGACTTGGACACGATCAGTGCGATCGATCAGATTCAAGCGAGGTTAGTGACCATCATGTGTGTTTGGAAATGTGGTGTTAAACAACAACCACAGCACTCTAATCCTAATTTCGAGGGCTCTTTTACCACAGCTGCGATTGTCTCGCCTAGCTTTCTGAGCTATACACGTTCGTGGCCCTTGTGACGTTTTCCGCAACTCCTAGCTTATAATATCGTGTCGGTCAATTGACCGACAGAGTTGTCGGCCTCTGTGAACCTCTGTTCATTTGGATTTTATTTTGTGTGTGATCCGAAAATGCGTTGAATTAGCGCGACCCCAACAATGCGAGCGATACTCTAAAGCTGGCTCACTTTTCTTTGTTTTTGTTGAACGCATATCGAAGTCTGGAACTTGGAACCACGCTATTAGCAGTTACAGTTAATTGGAAACGCCTTTTAGTTGATGCACACTGTACTATGTGTTCACAATTCACACATCCGACTAGGCGCCATGCAACCTAATACTTGGCTTTCGCACCATGTTACATAAATCAGGCAAATCGCTAACTTGCTCTCTCTTTTCACCTACCCAAAATCTTAGCTAGCCTTTTTATGAGTTGTCCTCAACTGATCCCCCTGTCATGAATGATTGATCTAGTCAATGCAAGTTTATCAAACAGGTTCTCATTTACTCTTTCCAAGTTATGCTCCACCCAATTGATGGTGACTTCCTTCATACAGCTCCATTGGCATAGTTAGGTTAAACTGTCGTCGTACCACATTCACGCCACGTTTAACGTGGAATTACTGTTGCTCTACCTGATCGCGCGGTGGTATAGCCCACTAGTAATTAGTATGAATATTTGGAGTACCTGGGAAGCACACAGAGGAGAACGCGAAAATGAAGTCGCGTGACTTGTTTATCATCCTTGCCTGCTTGTTTAGATACGATTGACTACACCAGTCTGGTTGTATTCGACTACACAGTTGTCTTTTGATTAAGCAGGTTGTCTGGTCTGGTTCACTACAGATGTTTGGCCCTAACTAATTCATCGTAAGATGAGGCAACTTGTTCAGAGTGCCGTGGATAGCTTGTATGCAGAACATACTCCTTACCTCCGGATCTGGCCTTCACAAACTCTCCCATGAGCGATTTTGTCCATTTTAGTGTATACGGCAGCGCCTCCCACAACGATAGCTGGTGGGAGCGATTAAAACAGCCAAACCAGGAGTATGGACGCTTTTGGAGTCGTGACCGTGGGAACTAATACATCCTAGTGTAAAAATGAATTTCTTCTTCAATTCTAGAAGATAAACAGTCTAGCTGGCGACGTGGGAACAAATTCGTATTCCTTTTTGCTGCCAGCCAAATGGCCCTCTTTCCAGTAGGATCACAAAAGATGGTTGACAAGACCAATAAATAGGGGTTAATGTAGAGCGAAGCACTATGGGTTTTTTTTGTTATGTTACCTGGTTTTACATTTATCGAAAATGCTCGGGTCTTAAAAGAGGCTGTCGCAGGATGGATATATTGCTCTCGGAAGAGCAATTTTGGTGACTTCCTTCAGTTGTTTTCTCCAGGGACGTCTATATCACGGAAGTTCGCCATACTGCAGTTTACCCTAATCTTTTTCTATTTCGGTTATTTGGTTGCGTTGACCCCTTCTTTGTTCTCTCAGATTCTTCAATTGATCGGCTGAAACGAACTTAACACCATAGGCGTTTTATGTGATGTCAGTCATGACCGCGGAGCCAGAACACCGTCTACTTTTATGTAACGGAGAACAATGGATGATTTTGAAGGCAGCTCGCGTCTTCATTAGGCACACGCGCATCAAGTTTACGGAAGATTAGTAGAACCAACCTTCCTGATATTTTCTGGCGAATTTTCCCGTAATTCCGGTGTAAAAATCCCCGAAATCTCTATGTACTCGGTATTGTGCTCACTGCTACGCACCGATTTCGTGAAACTCGAAATTCAAGGATTATCGAAAGCATTTTGATGTCACTTTGGTCGTTTTGCTTCAGCGATCCAGATCTGATCATTTTGAATGGTTAGTGCGGTTTCAGCTCCCCACACCGAATGAGGACAACCACGGTAGCGGTCATTTTTGTCAAGTCTCGTCAGTGACTCTCTACTCGCTAATCCCGGCATTACTTGATTGTTTCGCACTTGAATTCCGTTTTGTAGTCACATTCGACTTTTGCTGGGAATCTGAAAAGCACTGTTTCATCCTTATCGGTAACCATCTTTATGCAATCCTTACCTCACAAACCTCCAGGTATATCTAATCCCGTGGTCTTCCGGACACGAATATAAACGGGCTGATCACCTGACTTGAGTAACACGTGTGTTCCGGTCCCTAATCTCTACTGTCGACTTCCGGCTTGCATCGAAATAAGACTATGAGCCCAGTACAATAGACCAAGGATATTTGTTTCAAAGGCATATCTTCTAAAGGTTCCAAGCGCCCTAGGCATAGACTAACCTTGCCTTTGATACGGCTACTCACTGTATCCAGTTGTCCTTAGACGCTTACGCATGTCACTCCTTCCTTTGAATCTATCAGTTTCCCCGTCGACGAGCATCGGTGTGGATAAAAAACGCGAGGAACGTCCATTTATTCGTACTCAGGTTCTAACTTCCTTTCTTAGTGTTTTTCTTTTGTGTTGCGCAGCAGCAATGCACTTTTGTGCCCGACTGATTTCTTTTTCTGTTTTTTTTTGTCCAGCCTATTGGAAATTACGCTGGTAAGTGCGTCAGTTTTGAAGCGTTCTAGTTTTATTCATGTTAATCGCGTCTCGCCAACTCGCTTTTACTTTCTCTTCTCATTTATTTTGCTGCGCGTCCTCTGTGTTTGTGTGTGTGTTTTGGCTGCTTGGCTATCTCTGCCTGACCGGGCAGTCATAAGCCATCGGTCCGACACACTGAGAGTTTTGGAGCTATTCGCTTGCACTCTTTTATATCCAAGTTTACACCCGAGTATTCGGTGTCCAGACTCTTTTTGAAGCAACCTATTCATACCACCATCCTGTGCGCGGTGGCCGCTCAGTACAGTTGGATGCAAGACAGGCAAATCTGTAGATGGATGACAGCCCAGGTTCCGTTTGCTAGACGGTTTCCTTTGTTTATTTTGTCGTATGTATGAGGAATGCTCATACTGCATTCGGTTTACATCCTGCGTTTTCTTTGATGGGGCTGCCAAATACGGGTCCTATTTTTGGTTGCATATTTACCCTTTACCTTCAGCTATATGCACATTTGTTTTCTTCGCGCGGTTCACTATTTTGGAACGTTTCAACTGCGTAGTCTCACAGTCGGTCAACTGACTACTAGGAATAGACTGTCAGCTACTAATTAACCTTTTGCGTTTTCGGATGAGTGGTCGGTTTTTGGCCGCTTTCGTTGTTAGTATTGCATGAACCATTCTTCAGCCTTCAGTCTATCCTTCTATGCATCATTTCATTGTAGAGCAGTGTGAGACTATCAGTATTTTTTGATCATGTCGTGCCTTCTAATGGTGGCACTAATAATACAGTTAATATCATTAGTAACGGGAATAAAATTAATATACAATAATAAGTGTCTACAATCACCACCAAGTGTTATTTTAATTTACAAATTAATTCCGTGATCCATCAATTAGAAAACAAGACAGTGGTATGCCATTCCGGACAAAAGTCATTTCTTACGCATCTTTATTTCCTCGTTACTGAGAATCTTCCAATTCGAATGTGGTCCAGCTGGTTTCCGCATGCATATCTACACTTTCGAAAGTACCCTGTAGCACAACAAGGAAAAAAATTGAACGCGAGACCTACGGCTTCGCTGGGTACTAAGGAGTTGTTCAATCTATGCTACTGAAATCTATTTCCACCATGATTTCAGTCGAACTTTCAGGAACTTCCATCCGGAAGTTTTTGCATTCTGTAGTTCTCTTTGCCTTTACTTCCTTACTTATATGTACTAGATGGTTATCACCGTACGTGTATGACCGTGATAACATAGATCTTGTAAATAGGCTCAAATCTTAGCTTTAGCACTAATCACGACTTCTTTGGAAAGATAGTCTGAACTACCTCATCATGTAAGGAAGACTGTGGTTCGTGAGAGAATCATAGTTTATCGTAGCGTAGCAATCTTCCGTCTGTTTTCTTTCGAGCGTTGTCAGATAACTGTTTCCTCTTGCAAAAACGGCTTTTCAACTTATCTTACAACAATTTTGGGGTTTTGCGGATAGGTGCTTTGTTCGTAGTCACACCACTCTCGTTTGAACGGTCGTCCTCCTGTTCTGGCGTAATTATTCCGGTGAGTCCACACTAAAGAGGAGCACTGGACCCGAGTTTCGCCCTTACTAGAGCTCATCAGCAGTGCATATCCAATGGCCGTGCCGGGATTTGAACCCCGGACATTTGACATGCGAGGCGAGCGTGTAACCACCAACGCGCGTTGGACGCTTCTAAATTTCCACGTCTGAACAGGCGAATGTGTTCACACTTGAGCGATGTGATTGGTGTGCCCGACCCATCTTACAGCCCTTCTGGTTGATTCGTCCACAAAACCACCTAATTACTAAAGTCATCTCTCTGTAGTTCATCTGGACAGTCCAGATGTAGCTTGTTCGCACAACCATATGTCACTTTTTTACATCGATACGGCCCGTTTCAACTCAGAATACCATACTTTTCGTGTACTTGTATTTTGACTGATCCTTGTCACCTCACACGTTTATCGGGAGTGCGTCTTCCATACATCCGACCCAACGCGGCCCTTATAGGTTTTCGTTTCACTTCTGCCATTATCTTCCCCTCGTTCCTTTTGCCTATGTAAAAAAAGGACTGGCAGGTGGTTAATGTTAGCACCAGGATATCAGTTCGTTTTTTGTATTTTTGACGCTTCAGTACTCGTTTTCATCTCTTCCCGCTTTCTTTCAATGCTTTTTTAATTATCCACACAATGATGAAACGCGCACCATTCTTAAACTTATCTGGACCGAAATTGCATAGCCTATCTTGAGGTCATAATTTATTAGTGAACGACCATCATTATCGTTTATTTCTGAACAGCATGGTCGCAAACAAAAAAGTAAATTTAGGCGATAGATATGAAAGGGTGTACAGGAGAATATCAGATAAAACCAGGGAAGCGTCTTATTTAAAGGTGTGGCACCAACAATTTCAGTCAGACAAGATGAATCCCAACACATGTAAGAATGTTTGTTACGGAAACATGCGTGTAAAGACCAGCGACGGAAGCAAGGACAAACAGTGCTCCTCAAGGCTCTGTGGGCGCTAGCACAAGACTCGCACACAAGGCACAAAGTGCCCGTCATAGTGGGTCAGGTGTGAAAGTCAATGGCAAGACTTGACACTCAATGCCATGTACCACGCACAAAAGTGCGTTGTAAGTGCGTAGCCAGCCCAAAATTGTCAGGGAACACAAATCACTGACTATGAACTTGGGAAGTCCCAGTCCAATAACAGCCTTGGTTGATTGCCTCTCAACCTCCCCTGTCTAGGCTTGGGCACCCTGGCAGTATCCCAGCCGTCGTGCTTCCTTCGGGTGGCATGGCAGCTAGGCACCGGAAGAGTGCTACAGCTGAACGGTTTTGGTTGACTGAGGAAGCAGATCTCTCGATATAAAATGATTAATTGGTGGAACAATCACATACGCGCTGCATCGGGATCGTTGCACTGAAGCTTGGTATACTAAGTCCCTCATGTTGCTTACTGCCGTGGATGTAGCTGATCGGGGTGTCCTTCGGTAGATGCAACCAGCCACGAATAGGTTGACTGATGTAATTGTCCAACCTTTTGAATTTGTTTTGGTGGACTTGGCCGAGCACGAGCGACTAGGTCAGTCTCGGTGTCAGCCAGCTCCTTGTGATCTCCATTCTTTGATGTGACTTGAACGGGGCACTCGTCACCTTACCAAGCAGTTTGAGCAGCTGCTGTTGATAGTTTCAGACTCCTCTCCCCTTTGAAGTAAAGGGGATGCCCAAATGTGACACGGTGTTTGTGGGACCCAGAGGACTGGTGAGTTCCTCGGCGAAGCAAAAAGTCCGACTGAGACCTCTGTCACTTGATGTTCTCTGTTCCCACAAACCACCATTGCTATCGTCTGTCCGGCGTTGATCTTCATACCAGCTCTTTCCAACTCGACCGCAGAGGCTTCAAGCTTCTGTTAAATGTGACTCTGACTTTCTGCACTCACAACCCAGTCGTCAACGAAGGCGGAACCATCCACTAAGGCGTCACACACGGAAGCGAAGCATCGGTGTTGACCTCTAATGTTATGCTGTCGATAGTGATGATGATGAAGATGATGAATAAGGTGTCATGGACCTGGCATCGACAATCCAAAAACCCCATCCATTGCTATGATGAACAATATTGAGGAGAGTGGATCCCCCCATCTCACACCTCTGCGGCAGTGGACCTCGGACTGGGGAAAACTGCTGCAGTATTCTCACAGGATTGTGCGATGTATCGAACTAGGGATGACGGCGCTCCATCCAGCCTCAGCAGATCTGACAATTGTGTCATACGTAGCCGAATCGAACACTTTCGAGATATCAACGAACGCCAAGCCGAGATTAGAAGCAGTCACTCAGGAGTGATAAGATGATACACATGCCATCGCATCTTCGAACATAGTTTTCTTGGAACAGTTCGTTCGCCCGTTCTTGCTCTATGCTGTATAGTATGCTTACAATGCCCTTTAAATTCGCTCTCCCCCTCTAATATTTCCGCCTACACAATGTAATTGTGTGCTCATAGTCTTGTATATCTATTCTGGGAATCTGACATGTAACTATTCATTAACACTCCGGGCCTGGAATGAATAATTTCGAAGTTGACGATTCCAAGTTTAGATTAGTCTTGGATTGTGTCAATGAACAGGAGTGATTCCCAGCCGGCTTTTTATTGGGTCACACACCTCGGAAGAGGCTCCTTCCACCTCTGCAATCTTGATTCACGAAAATCAATTTTGCTCACGTGCAAAGACTTTGAACCCTGTGATCTGTAGGAAAATACGGTAAAATCACGTTTTCAGAACTGGTTAACAGTGATTTAGGCTTGGAACGCGAGCCAGAGTGCTAATGGCTTCTAAACTGCCCAGGAGCTGGTTACGCTAACTGAACAGCTTCAAGCCCAAGCCCGAAATTCGATCGTCCCAGTTTTATGCGTTCCGCTTGTCTTGTTTTTTTAGCTTACCGATTTGTACATCGGTGGTGATCATATTTGGTTATCATAGGATATTTATCCTTCACTCACTGATTTAATATTGACCGATGTCTATTATACTAGTGGAGACAGAATCACAATCGACAACAGTACACCACTGGTAGAACTCGCTCGGAACCATCACTTTGCCCTATCAAAGTGAAATGAAACGAGGGAAATGGGGGCAGACGATTAAGAACAACCTGGCTACACCTTTGTTCACTAATGAAATTACGTTTCAGTATCCTGTCAGAGCAAGACACCGTCAGCGGATTAGCCCGGTATCCTCTGCGAATCTTATCCAAAACAAGTCCGTTGCATAACGCTAACACACAATCTGAACTGGAAGTCACGTCATGCTGTCATGCGTTTCCAAACATGCAAGGGTAATCACGTGGACCACGTCAGAAGGGAGCGAAAATGCCACAGCATCGCTCCTGTTTCCGTAGCACAACCTGTCATCAGTGAACTTTCCACTAGCCATGGGTTGGAATGAAAACAGCACTTTTTGTGGTAGGTGGTGGTTGGATACTGTTAATACATATTTCGACCACCGTAAATTGGCAAGTTTTGTTTGCTGCTCTGGGGATTTCGGTTGTTCTTAACCCACGCTCGCGCACTGCGTTCAGCTAACTGTCGCTACGCCACGAAGGCTGTTACGATCAAATTTTTGGGAACTAAATTTACGTAACCAATCAATCGATTTCAGGTTTCGTTTTTTCTTGCATTTTGCGGTAGTCAGGACACAGTTCCTTGAAGGCGAGCAAAGATCTTATTTTAACATATCGACAGTGTGACCTTGGACGTGGGACAGAAGCTACTTCTCTAGCGGAAGCTATCCCTGGATAGATTTGTGGATGATCGTGCAGGATATTACGGATTCTTGCCAGCAGTTGACCTGGTTTGTGCTAGACTGAAATCAGATGTGAGTGGAGATTTAAAAAGATTATACAAAACAAGGAGGGAACAACTAATGACGTCAACAGCACCTTTCAAGCACCCCACTAACTTGTGTGGTTTGCTTTAAGTATTGTGTTCAACATTGGAGTGCGTGATTTGCACTTCCTCTGTGTCAAGAGGTAAACCTACTCGAGTAGTTTGTTGGACGAAATTCAAAGATGACGAATTTTGTCGTATTTTCCGGAGAATTTCCGCATTGAAATTGGATCCTATACATTACCACTAATGACAGCCACTCCACTCAGGCTACAATACTCTCTCCCCGCGTTCGTCCCTCTTCTTAGTGACCATCATATTTCGGGTCGTTTTCGTACACTGCAGCCGATTGGATGGCCTCATGATTAATCTTTGCTTTATTAACCGAATTTACGCAGGCATTTGAATCTCGCCTTCAATCTCGTCTCAGCATGGTTACACGGACTTTGTGGCTATGGCTTTCGGGTTTTAGATACGAACTTACATCTTCGCGATCTGGCCCCTGGAATCGCAGTTAACATCTCTCCTCGCCCCTATCAAATTTTTTTCAAACTATTCGCCAGAAAACCCGCGTAGGTCATTCGCTGTTGGCACGCACGAAGATTTGAACATGTTTACAATCTTTTGATTTAATTTACAACCTCATCGAAGGCGCACTGCGACTATGTCGTGCTAGACAACCGGTACTTTTGATATACGGGGTTTGGATTGTAGTGTAGTTTCAACCTAGTTATCACGCGGTTTCAGGTCGTGCCACCTACTGGAACTCTCCATTTGAGGCCTTATTGGGCTAAGGCGACACACAGGTACGGCATGAAGTGTACTGTACCCACCAGCTTTGTCCAGAGTGGAAACCATATTGGTTTATCCTGCGAGAACTAGTATGACCTGAGCTGTGATGTTCAAGTGAGTTTACGAAGTTTGATCCAAACATCTGTTATGAAGTCATGTGCTACCAGGTTGCTTTTGGTGGGCGCTTGCTTAGTGAAACATATCCAGTCGCCGACTTTCTGCCTACGGTAGATGTATGCCTGGTGCGCGCGGTCATTATCGGTTCGAGATAGCTTAGTGGCTGACTGACTGGAAGGTTGCGAGTTCAGCACTGGTGTCTGGACTGTTCGTCTCTAGGCTTTGACACCCTTGTGCTTCTTTCTGGTGGCATGGCCGCCACGCAACCAAATGTTGTTTCAACTGGACAATTATTAATTTATTGTCGTTTCACTGGCAGTTCGGTTATCTGCCTTCTTGACAGTGCAAGTGGCTATGTTTTATTCTACAGCCCATCACCTTGATTTCCCGTTGTGTTACAACCGTAACTGGTTAAGCACAGTCGAGCGGCAGGACGACTAGTTGTAAAGTGTTTCCTTTGAACATTTCCCATTTTCAAAGCTAGCTCTGGCCTTTCAGGCGGAGGGGGCACCATTACAGGTATCAATTTGGAGACGCTACCATTATTGCCATCGAATCTACCTCGCATCGAAGTAACTTCCAAAGGACAACGGTTGATGACAGGGACCTTCCATCCTATAAAACTGACCGTTGTGGGACGCTTATGTTTGAAGAGGAGTGCATCAACTTATGGTTGGGATTATTTTGTTTGATATGTGAATTAAGTCGACTTAGATCCAATTTTATGATTAGGCAACGTTGAGACTAAGGTTGTTCTGAAAGACGTGGCATTCCTCAAGATTGCGGTGAATGGTTAAGTGTAACCTCGCTGGAGATAAATATCGGTGAGACGCCGTAGCCAACTCTAGAGGATGTGAGCTTTGAATTTTAGAGTAGAGGGCATATTTGCCTAACTATCTGGGAAGTTGCGTAAAATTACCGAGGTGCCAAACAATTTCGAAAGAGTGGGAATCACAACCAACCAAACTACAACGTACTTGTATACGACAGTGAAGCATCGGTCATGCTGTCGATGATGATGATGATGATGACAACGTACATCGAGAACTCATAATTCTTCCTTTGCTTGTCCTCTGACTGTTTTGTCCTGCTTACAAAAGTCAAATCCAAGTATGGTCAGACTCATCAACAAAGCATTTGATAGCAAATACGTTCGATTGGTTCCCTATCATTCATCCTCTACGATGACGAGATCCATTTTCTTCGAGAAATACAAGGACGGCTCCTTGGTGTATTGTCCTCTATGCCGCTTGACTTCCATCCTAGCTGTTCAGAACAATGCCGCAACAACTCTTTCGAAGGTCATGCACCTCCCCATGAGAGTTTGCGATTTCTTTCCAGTCTTGAGGGAGCACGCTCTTCTTGGGAGCATTGTGCATGCAAACCTTTTTTGTGAACACATGCACGCAGCTGAGTGGCACCATAAGATATAGCTGATCTTACGTTTCTCTGCAGATACGCTGTTGTTCCACCTTCCATTGAACTTTCTAAGGGGAGTTTTCTGAGCGGAAAATCGCCAATAATTATTTTACTATGAAGAATCCAGTTGAAAGCACCACAGCATTCAGTTT